GGTTGCTACCCGCAATAAGAAGGGCCTACTACTAAAAGATATTAAGTATAATTACGCTACGGAGGACGCAGATCCGGTAAAGTTGTACCGCGGACTAGGGTATATAGGTATTATAGGACGATACTAGTCGCTTACCGACAAGCAACGCGCCGACTTATATCTCTACCTACTAGACGAGCTCGCTATAGCCGTTAAGTCTAAGACTCTCGTTAGCACCGTAGCTACTAACGAAGAAGCGCTAGCTACGCCGCAACTATCGGAGAAGCGTAAGACTAAGTCGCGGTACGGCGCCGCCGACGCTAGTACTCTCGCCCTAGCCTCTAAAAGTAAGGGTAAGACCTTCCTCTTACTAAAAGGCAAGGACAAGAACAAGCTACCGAAAATCTAGATAGGCTAACCCTTCGTACGCGCCTTATCCCTACTAGCCTCGGTACCCGCCTCGATACCTATATCCGGAACGCTAAAGCAAGTCTAGTACGTTAGCGTATATAAGACATAAGACAAGAGCGGTAGAACAAAGCGTAAGCAAGCTAGTACTAGCACCGGCGAGACATCTAACTAAAAGAGACGACGCTAATATACAAACTTTATAACTAGCTCTAATACTAAGGCTACGCTAAAGTCGGCTACTAAGAAGACGCGCGCTAAACTAGTAGACTTAGACTAAGGAGAGGAGGATATACTCGAGACGACGAGAACGTATAATACGAATACGAGCGGTAAGGAAAACGAGCAGAAGCGGAAGGAGTATATAAGAAGGGGTTTAGCTAATATAGTACGCTAGCCTTCGTTCTATCGGACGGAGGTACTATTACGGTAGGGACGGTACGCTAGCTAAGCCTAGTATATACTTTCCGTAGAACCGTAGATACTTACCCTAATACTATACTATAGCTAACCTACTAATCGTCCCTTGTATAACACTAAGGTACCTTTAATTAAAACTTTAATTAAAACTTTAAAGCTAAGTCAAAACTTTAAGCCGCCTAAAAGATTAAGCGACTAATAGACTAACTAAGGGTAAAACTATAGAGCTAAGCTAGCTAGGGTCGATCTTGCGGACAATAGGTTACTCCTCGATCTATCTAATCCTTTAAGCGAGGCGAACCTCTACTACTACACTTATAATAGCCTTTACTTATAGAAACTAGATAAGCTGTGTTTTTTCTAAAAAGATAAGATAAGATTAACAATTGAAGGCTGCTAAACCTAACTAATTAGGGCTAGCGAAACTACGAACAATAATAGCCCTCGTAATAATAAGAACAAACCTTCGGAAGCAGACAACCCTCGGAAGCGGATATAGCTAGGTCTTTTAGAGTAGACGCAAAGAACTCGGTACGACATTACGTAGAACGGGGGCAGTGCTATAATACCCCGTATACCTACCTATTATAGTAGGGAAGGTACACTCGTATTATAATTAGTTAATAGTCCTTAACTTTTATAGTTATATATTACTTTATTGTATATAAGGATAGCGTAGTTAGAGTTAGACATTGTATTAGAAGGTAAGGTTTAATATAGTTACATAATCGGTAGTTATACGTTTAATTTAGCGCAGACTAAGCAGCCTATTAGACCTACCAAGTTAGTAGCAATAGAGGTTAAGACTAGAACAAAGACCGGCTACGAGGGCGCGGCCTTTAGAAGGGAAGCGTATATTAGGACTAAAGAGGTTATACGTAATTAGCATGTAACCGGGCTCGAGTAAAGCTAGGGTCTTAATGCCTTAGGCAGGGCTTAGCGCTTAGTAATAGGCCAACTTGCCTACCTTCCTCCCTCTCCTTCTAGCTCTTTATCGAATACTACCTATACCTACTACTACCCTATCTACCTGCTAATATACCCTTCTTATATAGATATACTAGTAAGCCTGCTACTAGAAGGTATATCGAAGGATATAATACCGCTATTTAGTATAGATTAGGCGGACCGCTTTCTAAAGCGCTATAGACTTAGTAAGGTTAAGTCTAAACTAATTAAAGTATAGCAGAAGGAAGCTTACGACCCTTCTACGATAAGGAGCTAGTTTAACCGGTTTAAGGCGATAATAAAGCGACTAGATATAAAGCCGCGGAATGTATAGAATTTCGATAAAACTAGCTTCTAGATTAGAATTAGTAGTAACGAGTATATCGTTATAATAGATACGAAGCGGCGCGCCTAGACCGAATATAATAGTAACCGTACGTATATAACAGTCGTCGAGACCGTAAACGCGTTTAGTAAGGTAGTAGATTATTAGTTAATCGTTAAAGGTATAATAGTCTAAGAACGGTAGGTACCGAAGGAAGGTAAGTCTATTACTACTACTATTGCTACTTCCGAGTCCGAGTCTGCTTCCGAGGCAACGATACCTACTAACTATACTATTAGGCAAGGATAACTTCTTAATTACTATTAACGAGTCTAGATATATAACCGACGATACTATAATACATTATATCCGCTAGTTTAAGCGAAAGACGAGGCCTAAAGATCTAAACGAGTAGAGGGTATTATTATACGATAATTACGGCTCCTACTGCTTTAAGGAATTTATAGCCTTTATAAAGCGGTATAGGATTCAATTATAGGGCCTATAACTATATACTTTACACTTTATATAGCCTTTAGATATAGTCCTATTTTAGGTATATAAGCTAAGGTATAGGCAAGCGGTACTAGAGGCTATATACCGTAGTATTAGTAAATTCGGAATACCTAAGTTTGTTAAGGCACTCTTAGCTATTCGGGCTAAGATATTTACTTTATATAATATAAGGGCGGCATTCTAGAAGACAGGTATATTCCTAATTAATAGGGAGGTCCCTTATAAGTATATTTAAGATTAGTATAGGGCTACTAACTATAATTAGAACTAGTAAGTAATTAAGAGCGAGTTAGTATAGGAAGAAGCCCGATATAATAAATCGCTAGTAATAGCCGATATAGCTTAGTAGGAGTATATCGCATTAGTTAAGCAATAACGTTCCGCGGAGCCTACTATTGTCGATCTAGAAGGCTAGTCGTACGCTAATAGTCGCTACTACCTTAGGGATCTCGAAAACTTAATTACTTAGGGTATACTATCGTTACTATCTCTACTACCTTAGCGAACGCCGACCCCCGAATTACCGTAATAGCTCCTAGGTACTACTACTAGCCCTCGTACGATTAAGGCATCTCGTAGTACTATATAAGCTCGCAAGGACTTCCGACGGTCTTATCTAAAACTAGCCCCGTATAGTATCGATCCTATATTACTATCGTTTAACCTATTTTCTTCGTTATCTATAAAGCGAGTAGAAGAGGCCTATAATATATTAGTTAACGCGGCTATCTATAAAGGTAAAGAATATAAGCGCAAATACTAATCTACGAGTATTATTAAGCGAGCAAAGAAGCGGTAGAAGGAATAGCCTAATCGGCTTATTCGAGTAGGTACTATCGAGGCAAATAAATTACGCTTATAACTTACTTAGCAAGATAAGGATATAGCTAATAATAGGTACTAGAAGATGCTCCGCGAGGCGAAGGGTACTTATAATAGGGCGCGCTACTATCGATTAAAGTATAGTAAGGCCTTCTATATTATATTTAATAATAATAGTAAGACTAAGTAGATAGACGTTAAGTTATAGTCTAACGATAAGCTACTACGATACGTCTTCGATAAGCGCCTTCTTACTACCGATAATACCTCTACCTTAAAGAAGACTAGTAATCTATACGCCGATATTCTTAGTAATTATAAGCGATATACTTATATATCTAAGAACAGCGAAATTATATATATATAGAGCCTAATAATAACACTATATTTACCGACTCGTACCTACGATTACGAAGGTAATAGCGACCTTCTAATATAGACTAATATTAAGAGTAAGCGGCGGTTAAATAGCCTATTCGCGTAAGAGCCTAATACTCGACTCGACTAGTTATAATAAGACGAGGCGCTACTTAATAAAGATACTATATATACTAATATTTAGCCTTACTTAGTATATCCTCGCCGCCGCTATAAGTTAGTATAGCGAAAGCGCTATTTCTACGAGCCTCCGAAGAAAACTAGCCGCTATCGAGGCGAGGTCGCTAGTAGTAATAAGGACAACCCTATTAAGCTAGAAAAGTCTTAGAATAGTAGAGTAAGTATTTAACTATAGCGATAAGAGGTAGAGATAATATAATAGATATATAGACCGACTTCTAAAGTAATTGATTATATAGTTAACGCGAGGTATACGCGGAGGCCGACTATATATCTATTTTAACTATCTACGGTCGCAATTTAGTCGCTATTAAAACGGAAATCTACTGCTTCTTAACCCTAATTGTACCCCTATTCAATTTCCCGGTCTATATACCCTACAATATACTATGGTGTCGAGTTTTACGTGTGGCCTACTAAGAAAAAGCGATTTTACGTATGGCTTGAATCCCCGAGCCCGGGGCGAGGGGTGGAGTGGCTGACGCAACCCCGGATATGTAGCTGCAAGCTCTATCATCCTGAAGCCACCTTTTTTCGCTTGGCACAAGTCGCAGCACACCAGAAGCGCACCGCACCGCACCTGCACTTCAGCGGCAGACCCAACGTGGGACCGGCGCTGCGACGGAAGCGGAATTCCGCTGGCTTCGGAGTTTACCCGAGGAATGTCTTGCCTCGCGATCCCTGCATGGAAAGTCGAGGCTTCCCTCGTCACCGCGAGAACAACTTCTCTAGCTTATGCTTGTTGATGATTGTCGCCATGACCTGCATTGCACTCTGTCACCCGCGCATTACCCTCTCCAACGCAGAAACACGCGACCAAGCAGCGCAGCGCGTACAAAAGGTCGGTACTGTAATCCCGCAACTTTCATCAACGCAACAATCTTTTCTCCTGTCTCCGAGCTGCCGGTGTTTCTATCACACCGCTGCTGCCCACAACCACATTTCGCAGTCTTGAGAGTTGTCACTCCTTTCAAGACCCTCTCCTACATCATCACTTTGACATTCCTCACCAAATTCCTCCAGAATGGTTCGCAAACTTCAGGTCGGCGTCTCAGGCCTCGGCCGCATGGGAGCTCGCCATGCCCTCCACTTCCTCGAGCGAACACCACGAGCGGACCTCGTTGCGGCCTTTGATCCAGATCCGAAAGCAGTAGCGTGGGCACAGCAGCGTCTCTCACCATATGGCACCAAAATCTACACAGATTTCGAAGAGTTCCTCAAGCACCCCGGCCTCGAGGCGGTCGTGGTAGCAGGAATCACGACCCAGCATGCAGCCCAGACAATCCGAGCCATTGAAGCCGAGAAACACGTGCTCTGCGAAAAGCCCCTCTCCACCAGCCTCGCCATCTGCGAGGACGTCCTCCGAGTTGCCCGCACAAAGCCACACCTCAAAGTCCTCTGCGGCTTCTCCCGACGCTTCGACGCCAGCTATCGTGACGCCGCCACACGTATCCAAAACGGCGACATTGGTCGACCCTCCATTCTCCGCTCGCAGACCTGCGACAAGCACCGCAATGACGACTACTTCGTCCAGTACGCCAAATTCAGCGGCGGAATCTTCGTCGATGCCAACATCCACGACATCGATCTCGCCTTGTGGTACTTCGGTCAAGACAGCGTTGTCAAGTCAGTCACAGCAGTAGGCATCAATGCCCGTCTCGCCGATCTTAAGAAGTACGGTGATGTGGACAACGGTATCGCCGTCGTAGAATTCTACGGAAACAAGATCGCCTACTTCTATTCTTCTCGCATGATGGCTGCGGGACAAACCGATACCACGGAGATTATCGGTACTCATGGAAAGATTGTAGTGAATGGAAACCCTCAGAATAACCTTGTCGAACTGCATGAAGGTAATGGCATTCGAAGAGAAGTTCCTCAGACTTATTATGATCGTTTTGAACATGCTTTTGTTACGGAGAGTAACGAGTTTACTGAGGCTGTCCTGGATGATAAGGCTTTGCCGTTTGGATTGCACGGTGCTATTCAGGCCGTGAGGATTGGAGATGCTATGACCAAGAGCTTGAGGACGGGGAGGAAGATTGAGTTTAATGAAATCGGGGAGGAGGAGGTGAAGGCGAGGTTGTAGATGAATGTGATGATGTGTATACTATATGATGGCGTTGGTTCAGAAAAAAAAAGAAGGAACGATATAGATGATAGAGAAGTCGTCTCAATTTCATATATCTCACCGGCGACATGGCAAAAGAAGGATTTGGACTATATCGATGGACATTTGTATATATATATCAGCCGAGGAACATCACCCTCCGTTCCCATTCCTCCCCTCCTCCGAGTCCCAACCCCAAGCACTCTTCAAATTACTCACCGCCATTTCCGTAGGCCAAGCATGCATGCGATCACACTCCTCCAGCACATCAATCAAAGCCTCCTGCTCAGCCCTCTCACTAAACTTATCCCCAGCCATAGTGACAGCCATACTCGCATACGTGAACGCCGGAGCATTGGCCGGACTACTCCTCGCCATACCACAAAGCGCCCTGACATGATGTTTGATTTCCTCGTCCATTTCTCTCAAAGCAGCTGGCCGGACTACTCCTCGCCATACCACAAAGGACTTTGACATGATGTTTGATTTGCTCGTCCATTTCTCTCAAAGCAGCTGCGCGGCCTGGATCGAGACGTGGGATTGAAGGGTTGTAGGATGAGAGGAGGATTCGGGCGAGATGGTGGCATTGGATTCCTGTGGCGTATTCGTCGCCTGTGAACCAGATTTCGGGGAAAATTTGTTAGGAGTTGGTGGGCGGGTGGGTGGGTGGGTTGATGTAGATTGGTGTGAAGGTGAAAGGATGGGAGGTGTGCCATTGGGAGACTTGCGAGGAGATGTATGTGTAGTTTGCGATTGTTTGTGGGGTGTCGGAGAAGCAGAAACGGATTGTGTCGGCGCAGAGGACGACCATGCGGCAGGCCCTGGAAGGTGCTTAGTACTCGGGAGGTGGGGTGGAAGGTAAATTGGGGACGATTTATTTACCAGATGTGCTCCTCTGCTGCTTCGAAGGATCGGTCGATGTTGCGATGTTCTAGAGCCGGGAGGATTGATCTCTGGTTCACGAATGCGACGTACACTTCTTGTCGCAGTACAACCCAGAAAGCTGCTTGTCGAAGTCCGCCGGTGATTGCGGCTCGTTCTTGTGCTGCGATAACTGCTTGGGCGCCGAGAAGATGGCTGTGTTGGTCTGCTGGAACTTGGCCTGACAAGGGCACTTCGTACACTTCAAGGTGCCGCAAGATGATTGTTGATGCGAGTAAGTTCTCATCCAAGATGGCATCTGTGTCGTCGAGCATAGGATTGAGATGCTTCAGGCACTCTTGATGGTGCTTGTTCGAGATCAGTGGATCGTAATCTCCGACTCTACTAAGATGCCGGGCTGAGAGAGCGAAAATGGCATTCATCAGTGTTGGACAAATCGCTGCTCGCTGAGGCACCACGCGGCGGAAATGTCGTAGTGGGTCTGTGAGATTGAAATTTCGAGACAGGTTCTCGACGAAATGCCTTAGCAATCTTGCTTCTTCTTTGTCCTGCAGTGGCCATACTGGAGTGTCGAGATATATCCTTGACAAGGAGCTTCTTACTGTCTTTTTTAATCCAGTATACTCTGCCAACTCGATATCAGCATTCGAGGTGACACCATCGATCGAGGTGTTGGGCGTGCATCCTGTGTGCCAGCTTTCAGCAGGTGGACGGACCAGATTCCTTGGGCTTTCCGATGTCCTCGAGCTGTGGTATGAGCTTTCAAATGTGAATCTTCTTCGCTTGGCCGCAAGTGCTTCAGAAGCTTCTGCCACACGATCCGAAAATGCCTGACTAGCAGGCGACCCACTGGGCTGAGAATGCTTCTCAACGCGCCTCGCCCCTGACCGGGTAAAACCATCATTTGCAAATGCCTGGGTACTCGCCGGCGACGGACGTGCAAAGTTCTGATGGTTGGCTGGCGAAGGCTGCGTTGGTGGCTCTGATGCCGATGCACGTGCAGATTGCGTTCTTTCGAGAGAAGGCTGCTGGTCGACTGACTGTGATGCTGGAGAGAGCTGCGGCCATTTAAATGGAGTCGGGTTCGGGTTGTCCTCGTCTGAATTGTGGTCGTAGATGTTAATGAGCTCTTGCGTCTCGTCCAGGAATGTCAAAGTCCTGGCAGTCTTCACCCGAGTCTGAGACTTTTTAAAGTCATAGTCGTTCTTTGCATCACCACTCCCTTGAGTGTTGGCCACTGATGGGTTCGCTCCATGTCTGAATCGAATATTGTAACCACGAACGCATTCGATCTTTCGAAAAGCTCAGCAAAGGCGTGAATGATATGCTCCCGCTCTCATACCCCAGCCTGTTCGCATCTCACGCAAGCGGGCCCTGCTCATCACACTTCAAATGCCTCAATCGACAATTCTGACTGCGCAATTCGTCTGAGTCAGCAAAATTGTTAGTTTGGCATGTGAAAGCTGTTTGATCAGCCTATCACGTCTAGTTGTATTCACTTACCATCCAGTCTTGGTCCGTGTACTCTTCTGCGCTGTCTTCTCCTTGTTACTAGCCTCAGTCGCCGTAGACATAAGGCCATGCCAGGCTGGGCGGGCATGGAGAGAGGCGAGCGACGAGGGAGGGGCGGAACATATCACCCCTCATCGGCTTTTGAGGCAAGTCAGAAGGCATGGCAAAATTATTATTATTTAGCGAGACGTCTACAGTATCATCGCGGGGAACTTGACTCTGCCGGGGTTTTTGGAAGCGGGTAAATACTCAAATGGGACACATTGGCATAGTAATTACTCGGATGGGACTGGATTAGCAACATTAGCTGGCATTTCGCAAATGGGAAAATTTCGGGACATTGGTATATACATTGGCATAGAAATTACTTAGATAGTAAACATTAGCATAGTAATTACTTAGATAGGAATGTGCTATTTCCGTTTAGAAACCGTAGGAAATCGATTAGGACAAGTTCTATATAAGAAGGGTTATATTAGTAGGTAGATAGGGTAGTAGTCTAGTTATATACTAATTACGTGTAACCTCTTTAGTCCTAATATACGCTTCCCTTCTAAAGGCCGCGCCCTCGTAGCCGGTCTTTATTCTAATCTCAACCTCTATTGCTACTAACTTAGTAGGTCTAATAAGCCGCTTAGCCCGCGCTAAATTAAACACTTAACTACCTAATTATGTAACTATGTTAAACCTTACCTTCTAATACAATGTCTAACTCTAACTGCGCTATCCTTGTATATAATAAAGTAAAGGGATATAAAGCTATAGGAATTAAGGGCTATCGACTAATTACAATACGAGCGCGTCTTCCCTACTATAATAGGTAGACGTACGAGGTATTGTAGCCCTGCCTCCGTTCTAAGTAATGTCGTACCGAGTTCTTTACGTCTACTCCTAAAAGACCTAGCAATGTCCGTTCCGAGGGTTTATCCGTTCCGAGGGTTGTTCTTATTATTATAAGAACTATTACTATTCGTAGTTTTACTAGCCCCAATTAGTTAGGTTTAGCAGCCTTTAAGTATTAACTAATTATATCTTTTTAAAAAAACACAGCTCGTCTAGTTTCTATAGGTAAAGGCTATTATAAGTGCAGTAGTAGAGGTTCGCCTCGCTTAAAGGGTTAGATAGATCGAGGAGTAACCTATTATCCGCAAGATCGACCCCGGCTAGCTTAGCTCTATAGTTTTTGCCTTTAGTTAGTCTATTAGTCGTATAATCTTTAGGCGGCTTAAAGTTTTGACTTAGCCTTAAAGTTTTAATCAAACCTTTAACAGGTTCAATCTTTTAACTTAGTTAGTATAGTGCCTTAGGCTCGTAGTGCAGGTAAGGTTAGTAATAGCAGCGAGTAGGTAATGTCGATAATAGCGGCGCTAGTCGTCTTAGCGCTAACTTTACCTTCTTCTAATTTCCTTCTTTAACTAATAATAACTCGGCAACACCGTTACTAACATAGCTGTGTCCTTCCTTTCTTAAATAGCAATATACTCCGCAACACCGTTACTAATATAGCCGCGCCGGCCGCGCTAATTGCCTAGGCCTCGAGGCCTCGATAGAATAAAGGAATAAGAGGAGGACCCGAGTGCTAAGAGAAGGCCTTGCAGGGCGCATTAGTAAAGAGGTGGATTCCGTAAAAGAGTATGCGATTAGTTAGTGCGCTATAGCGCGCTAGTTAGCACTCGGTACGCGTTTACTATAGTAGTGTAGTCTTATTGTCCTTTGTTACTAATAATTGCTTGTTTCTAATTAGTTAGCTAATAGCACCCTAGGGGTAGCATTGTTCCTACCTATAAGTCCTATTCTAGTAAATAGCCTTGCTATCTTAGGAGGTACTCCTTCTTGCCTTTCCTAGTCCGGTGCTATAGGATACGTTCTACAGACTATAGTTCTTTACTATTAGCTAAGACTTCTTCTAACTTAGTAGGCGCTTTATCGCCTTCGCGTTAATAGTATAGCTTAAGGAGGGATATATAGAAGGTGTTATAGATAGTATAATAGGGTAGAAGCTATAACTAATAGGCCTATATACCCTTCGGTTCTCGGATACGGAATAGGCTAATGTATCTTAGTACGAGCTTAGGCCTTGTTTTGCTATTAGGTAATAGGTGTTTGCGGATACGGAGGTTCTTAGTACTAAGTATAACTATGTTACCTTGTTTAAAGGTTATTAGCGTATAGTGCTTGTTATAGTAGGCCTTCTAGTATTCTTAAGCCTTTGTCAACTTCTCGGCTATCTTAGTATAGATTTCACGCATCTTTTAAACCCTCTTAATAGCCGCTAGTGTTTTAGGGACTTGACGCGCTTCCCTTTCCTTACGCTCGGCCTCGAGCGACAGTAGGTCTTATAGTATAGCAGCGTTCTAGCCCGTTTATTTATACGTGTATGTATTTGTTTACTTATCGTTGCCGCGGCGGTGGAATATAGACCTAACCCGTCTATAGAGTTGAGCTAAAGCTAAAGCTGCGCCGTCTATAGTTAACGTATATCTACGCACTTCCGAGCTATTGCTATTAAAGGTATTAAGAACTTTCGATAGTAATTCGTCTTCTATATTAGAAGTAAGGTCGATAATCTCTATTATCGGCGTATACGAGGTCGGGTAGCGGTTATAGTAGCTTCTATTGCTATAAAAGAATACAGTGTCTTCGATATGTAGACAAGTATTAGTGTTAGAGCTAAAGAGGCTATATGTAATTGGCATGTGATTAGGCCAAGTGAAGCTAGGGTCTTAGTGCCTTAGGCAGGGCTTGGCGCTTAGCGTTAGGCTAACTAGCCTGCCTTCCTCCCTCTCCTCTTAGATCTCTATCGAATACTACCTGTACCTACTACCACCCTATCTACCTACTAAGATAACCCTTCTTATACAGTATTCGATCCACCCTTTAAGGGCAGCAGCTAGATAGTCCTTATTTTAAGCTTTTAGCGGTATAGCTACGAAAAACCATCGATTTAACTATATTACGCCCGAAGAACGGGACCTATACGTACTATTCTACTAAAACAACCGTACTAATTATTAAGCAAGGCCTTCTATACGGCCTATTACACTAAGTTAAGCACATTAGGCCGATACTCGCTAATTCCGCTATATCCGTACTATAAGGGGCCGCAATATATTATTAGTGCTACCCCTTATTACGATAGCCGGTTTATTACGAAGCAATAACAACCGTGCTGCCGCTAGCAGCGCTAGCAATAACAACGCTAGTAGCACAGTACCTGCTAAAGTGCCTACTAAAGCACCTGCTAAAGTACCTGCTAAAGAGCCTGCTACTAGGCCTGCCGAAGAACCTATAGTTCTAGGCGACGATCCAGAATTGCCTATTAACGACATTCTTAACAACATTGTCAATCGACGATATAGCTAACTAGCCTTTAGCCCCTAGCTAGTAGCGAGACTTCAAGAAGCTACCTAAAACAGGCTCGCTGCTCTACGTTAAGAATAACAGCTAAAGGACAACCTCCTCGAAATTCGCCGCCTTTAGGAGGCCCTAACAACTAACACTAAGCCGACAGTAGGGCCTTCCTCACTATTAGTCCTAGTCTAGAAGAAGGATGCTAAACTTAAGGACTGCACCGTATTTAATAGCTCTAGCCGAAAGCAGTACAACGACTATATTCGTAACTGTAAGCTTAACTAGCGCAACGCACTAAGAGCGCTACTAGACGACTATTCCTTAGTCGTATACGCTATATAGTATATTAATAGCGACCCTAAGCGTATATAGGATGACTATTTTAATTCCCTTTACGACTAGACCGCTGTTTAATAGCAGGATTACAAGACTATTATACTAAACACCCTTAGCAACCCTATATTACGCTAGCAGCACGCCTAAGACTAATACCTACGTGCTAAGCAAAAGGCCGACTAAACCTCTCGATCCTTCGAGGCCTATCTAAAGACCCTTAAAGACGATTTGCTACCTAAGACCGACTCTATCTAGATATCTGAGATACGACCTAAACTAAGATAGGAACTAGTCCTTGAATTGGACCGCCGCCGTGTATTCGAACAGGCCAATCTTATACGCATTCAATTCATAGTTAAAGTAGAGACTATAGAGCGTATAGTATAGCTAT